CAAATAATTTTTCAATACCGCTTCGAGGCAGAAACATCTTCGTTTAATTAGTCTTTACTGGATGCTGGAATAAATTACAATTCAAGGCAATTGATTAAGTTTATTGCCATAGACTTAAGCTACAGTATCTGTTTTTTTAGTCAAGATATTTTTATTCAAAGAGCTTTTTGTTCCCTTTTTCTTTTTTGCTCGAATTCTTACAATCGTATACCTCTCAAAAAAAAGCGGTAAGATAAAGCGCGCTTGCGACTCGGTTTCAGGCCTTGACGCGCAAATGCGCACGCATAGATTAAGTCCCTTTCATTTGCGGCGTGCCTTAGCTTTTTGGTTGCAGTGAGTTTTTTTTCCCCCTCGATTTGGGGTGTGCGTTGTGCTTTCATTTGCAGTGTGCGGTTAACTTTTTTTAATTCGGTGTGTAGGGTTTCACTTTATTGTGTAGAAGTGCATTTGATTTTTCACTGACATTAATGGTTTTATTTTATTCGTAGTATATTTGATTTAGTTTGCAGTAGTATATTTTTGTACTTTGGGTTTTTTTTAGGTTTGTTGCGCTGTCCCCAATGGGACCACCGTAGGCCAAAGTACTGTAAGCCCAATGCACTTTATTGAAAGTTTTTACAGAGTTTGAGTGGTACACTATGCGGGGCTTAACCATTTCTTCTTATTCGTTTTTCAGATGAGTGGTCATTTAGTTCCTTGATTTAATTAAATGAGGAAACTGCTTGGGTTTATTGTGTAGGGAGGTCGTCCTTGGGGAATATAACGTGTATGCTTTTTATGTGTGTCAGGGATTGCCGACGTTAACCAGTACTTTCAAGAAGAATTCACGATTAAAGTAGACAATACACCACAGAGGAACCACAAACTGAGAGCAGCACTGTGTTCCTCCCATCATTTTGTACGTCGATGATGAGTTTCTGGCGATCTTTGGTTCCAAGTGGGCTAAGTTTTCATCGCATAACTTGTCCTCAGACATTCAGACGCAGTTAAACACGAATAGTTTAACAAGAGAAGTCCTGTAATTTTTGGTGGTCGTTTCTAACCTAATTATTCATACCCTCCTGCAAGGTAAATAAGAAAAGGTTCAGAGCAACTTGCAAATCAGCAACAATCCAGTAACAGATGGAAAATGAAACATTCTAAAGTAGCAGGGAAAGTTTGATAGGGAACATTTTAGGTACTATGGAAATCGAAAATCTATTATTGTGCTTGTCTGCGTAGTGTTTCCAATTTATTCATATACAGTGTACCCTTACAAGGTAAAGAAAAAAAGGTTCATAGCCACACGAAGCAGCTGTTATTCTTTCATTTCTTCATTCATTCTTTGCCAGAACGTGTGCTGTATGAAGAATTCATACCTCCAGAGTTCCAATATCATCCTTCGTTACACAAACTATGTAGGAGAACAGAATTGTTACAATCAGCTCCAATCATGGCACTTCCATCAAGATATCCCGCCATCGTTTTAGGTTTGTTTATTTTAGGCATCTTTTGTACTTATCGTTTCACAACATGGAAAAGCAAGTCAGCAAAAAAAGTAGCAAAGCCGCAAAATGTGGCAATCTTAAAGAAACATCTACCAAAGGCAATCATCATTGGATCAGGCAAGTCAGGCACTCGGGCATTGCTTGTTATTCTTAAAATACATCCTGATATCAAAGCATGCCCAAAGGAGGTGAATTTCTTCAATCGTAATGAAAACTACAAGCAAGGCCTTGATTGGAACAGGAGTCAAATGCCTAAGTCAAGGGAAGACCAGTTAACAGTTGAAAAATCTCCTGGTTACTTCACCTCAATGACTGTTCCTAGGCGTGTGTACAGGTCGTCAAAAGATGTCAAGCTCTTAGTGATTGTGCGGGATCCCACAGCAAGAGCTATCTCAGATTATACACAACTTGCATTGAAGCAAAACAACTCTCTCCTTGCTAAGTTTGAGGACTATGTCACGAAGGAGGCAAGCGTTGTGGATACTAAAAGAAGTGTGGTGAAAAATGGAGTTTACATTAACCATTTGCGTCAATGGTTGATGTATTTGCCATTTTCACAGATTCACTTTGTCAGTGGAGAGGGTCTTGTCCAAAATCCAGCTGCTGAGATAAGACCAGTTGAAAAGTTTTTACATTTGAGACCATTTATAACCGAAAAGAACTTCTATTTTAACAG